AAATAAATAAATAAATATATATATATATATATATATATATATATATATGGAATAAGTTGTATATTACTTTTCATTAATGTATGTGTCTAATGAAGAGATTCGTTGGTTAATCTCATCGAAAGACAACGCCCGATTTCCGGTATTATTCAGCCGTTCGATTCAAATGATACGTTGGGTTGGCCCAGTCCATGAGGCATCGTTCCTTGTTTCGGGCAAGACATGACAACCATTCAGCTCTAGTTTTCTCTTGCAATTAGGTCTCCGAGACTACGAGTAATATATATGATGAGTAATATATGATGTATTAATCCTGTTTCGTTTATGGAGATGAAAGAATGGTAGCTGACTTTTCTCACAATGTTATGACTAGATCTTATGTTTCCAAAAGGTGTTCTCAATTCAAGTGGACTGGACTACAGCTTCATTTTTGCCTTAATTGGACCAAGTAGCACCACCAGCGGGACTCGAACCATGACGGTCAAGCGTGGAAGTTAGACCCGTTAACTGCTAAGCAGATGCGAATTTCCAGGAAGGCCATATCACATTCTCTGGTGGGATTGTCGTGAGCTGTTTGCTATAGCAATCGACTATATTACTTATTTCTCATTTCACAAGCAGGTCTTTTGAGATGCATATATTCGCTAAACCGGTTGTCCCGAAAACCCACTTGCTATAGCAAATAACATGATCAACAATCCTACAGCAGAAGGGGATATAGGAAAGTGCCTGGTTTCTCTTGAATTTCACATGCACCCTTCAACCCAAGGGTACTCGTGCCAATGCGGCAAAGTTGATAGCGTGTCGAGATTATGCGTTGCACTTTCATAGTTCGAGTTCCGATGGGAGTGCTGATGAGACCACAGTCCACTCCATCCGAAATGAGAATAGCTTTTGGGAAGGAATCATACGCGAAAGTCATTGCAAGCGTAAGCTCTACTCATATGAATGTATGAAAATAAAGCAACCAGTCCCCTTATCACTTTAAGCGAAATGGTAGTCTCGAAATGCTGCTTATAAAGCGAACTTTTCTAGTAATCTCCAGTTGGAGATGTTTGTAGGAAGCATCGCAAATGGTTCAAGCCCAGCCTGCCCAGCCATTCTCGCCGGTACAGATTGATCCAATGGACCAATTAAGTCAGCTGGAAAGCTGTATTTTCTGGGAAGACATAACGAAAAACTCGATTTTGAAGAATGCCCCAATGAAGTGAGGATGAAAGCAATTCATGCGATCTAAAAAATCTACATTTATTTGTGTTTCCTTGAAGCAAAAGTCAACTTGTATCGAGAAAAAAAAACATGTTGGCATGCCCATCATTGCTTCGGAAGAGGTGAGTTGAAGAACTTCATAAAGTTGGCTCATCGAGAGCCCATCGAAAAGGTCATTGCAGTTTTGACGCTAGATTTGTGCGTAGAAGTCATCCCTTCTTGGGATTCCCATCCATTCGAGTTCAGCTTTCGTTCCTTCCGTCATGACAGACCTCTTCCGCCCACGAAAGATCCTTTCTTCATTCTGCTGACTTCTGTCATGCCATCACAGACGAAGGTTCAGCAGGCATAGATCCCAATTGCTTCGGAAGAGACCATTTATGAATTAATGTCGGTCGCTTCCTCCGGAGAACTCAAACGTAGGTCGACTTGTTTTATCTACTCACCAAAAGTCCACTTCCGGCTCGTAAATGGGCAGCAGAAAAGACATGTTCTGAGCCTCTCTAATTGCGACCACATTCAGTCCGGGACTGGTCGGTGGACCGGCGACCGATTGTTGCCAATTCCAAAGCAACGCCTTGCAATTGGGCACATGACAAAAGGGATCAACAGAAAAGTTGTATGGGCTATGGCAGAGGCCCCATTGGGTTGGGTATGCAGTGGCCGAAAAGGTCGCTAAATAGCCCTGGGGAAACTGAGGAATCCCACACTAATCGGCCTGTAGACCGGATTACCTCGAAAGGAGGCGTGTCTCTAAGGCATTTCCGGGATGAAACCCGAACTAACTTTACCTCAGTTGATTTGCATAGTCGGCAGAACTTAAGCGGAATTTACATTTTCCGGAGGAAAAGTCAGAAAACCCAGAGAAAGTCTGAAAAACTGAACAAATAGACAGCAACGCAGCTGGACAGACGAAGAGCCGAACTAGCAAAGAACTGAACGAATGAACACACGCGAAGCAAAACAGTCGAAAAATGGTACAGTCGGACCGACGAGAAACCGATCGGTTAAACAGTCGAACAAATGAAAAGATGAACAGACGAAAAGTGGAACAGTTTGGCAGTCGACCAAACGAAAATGGGAAAGACTGAGCAGCCGAACAGATCATCAGCCGAGAAACGGATCTGCCGAATAGCCAAACAGTTCTACCGTTGGATGGCCAAAAAGTGGAAAGATTGAGCAGACGAACATCTAAACAGACATACAGTCAAAGAGACAGACTGCGCTCCAACCTGTATGATGATGGTAGCTCTTGAGAAGGCAAGATTATGTGAAACTCAACGACAGCGTATGTGCTACTCATATGATTGTGGGAAAATTCAACTACCAGTCCCCTTATCACCCTGAACCAACATAATAAAAAGAGACTAACAACCGAACAGTCGTACCGTCGAACAAAGAAGCAGACGAACAGCGGTTATTCTGAGCGCCCAAGCGTTGAAGAGAGGAAAAGCTGAAATTCTGTATGATTAGACAACCGAAGAGCCGATAATAAGAAAATCTGTCCAAACGAGCAACTAAAATACCGTTAAGACAAGCTGGAAATTTGCCACGACGGCCCTCGTCGCCGAAACCGCAGTTGCATTTATAAAGGACCTGTCGAATACTTATTTCAATAGACAATGCTACTTATTCGCAATATAAGTAGGCTTTGAGAATTGTAGAAATTTTTAAATATCAACTTATTCATGAGTGAATAGGCTTTCGGGACTACCAGTAAATCAGATATATGAAGTGGTTGAAGGTGATAAAGGGTCGTTAGTTGATTTTTTCCACAGCCATGTGAGTAGAGCTGACGTTTTCATTCAATTGCACATAGCCTTGCCTTCCCAAAAGGTGTACTCATCCAGACAGTGGGAAAATTCAACTACCAGTCCTTTATCACTTTAAACGAAATATGGTCTCGACAACCTACTCAAAGCCTACTTATATTAAAAATAAGTGACATTGTCGATTGAAATGCTTATTAACCGTACAAATAGTATATTTATACAGTTCATTTGTTTGAATCTGGCTTTAAGAATGATATGAAATGTATTCATCCTTTGTCGTTTAAGGCGATGAAGGACTGGTAGTTGAATTTTCCTAAAATCATACGATTAGGCCTTACGTCACCATTGAATTTCACATAGCCACGCTTCCTAAAAAGTTTTCACATTCAGAATGAATTTCAGTTCCGATCTCGTCTAATTCTCATCAGTTGCATTCCATTCTGGATGGGAATATCTTTTGGGAAGCTATGATATGTGAAATTAAATGGAAAACATCAGCTCTACTCTCATGATTGTGGAAAATTCAGCTGCCAATCCGTCATCAGCTTAAGCGAAATAAGGTAAACGCAACTCATAAAGAACATATCCAGCCCAGTTTGCTAAATTATTTCTAAGGACTGATGACTGAGTTTTGCCACATTTATAGTAACTAGGCTCTAGGATGCTATCGCCTCAAACAAGTCTATCATTTTGAAGTCTATTTATGGGATTGTGTGCCAACTCAATTATCCATGCTTACATCGACTTACAGGTACAATGCTAACTTCCTGTTGCAGAGAATGTATTCACCATATTTCGTTTAGGCTGAAGGAGAATTGGTAGTTGAATTTTTACCCGATGCTGTTAACAGTCGTCATGTTTCCATCACCTTTCGTATAACCTTTCTCCTCGAAAGGTATTCTCATCCCGGCTTAAGTAAGGTGCAGTCTTTGCCTCGCCTGAACTGAACTCATCTGCACCCCCGCGGGACTCGAACCATGACAGTTGGGTGATTGACGTGTAGAGGCGTGATCTCAAATCGAATTCGAGTACAGCGGCGAAACTGCAATCCTCTCATTTTTGCCAGTACGGTTGTGTGAAATTCTATTAAAACATGAGGCCCACTCACCTGATAAGCTAAATACAAATCTTATATCTGATCGACTGGTAGTCTCGAAAAGCCTGGCATTATTTAAAAATGAGTGATACTCTCGATGCCTACTCATCTCGAAGATAAGTAGCATCGTCTGCATTGTCAACAGAAGGACTGAACAGATGAACAGATGAACAATAGAAAATTGATCTACCGAACAGCAGAACAGACCAACACTCAACATGCTGAACACTCGAATGGACAGTCTATCTTGTGTGAGAATAACATTTGAGAAAGCAAGGTTGTGTGAAATTGAATGTAAATGTGAGGTGTGTTCATATTTTTGTGGGAAAATTGAGTCATCAGTCCCATTATCACCGTAAACTAAGTAGAGTGAATACACTTAAAATCGAAAACATTGATGAATCGCCTTTATTTGGATGCTGGCTCAACACGCTCTCTTTCATTCAATCTATCAATCAAGCATAAGTACTTCTTACACAACCTTCTACCAACGCTCGTCACATTCAACGTGTTCTCGAATCTCTTAATTTCAATAGTCTCTCTTATCTCCCTTTTAGTAGCAAACCTACTCGCTTGAGACCGTTTCGTCTCACGTCCAGTCTCTGGCTTGCGTTCGGCCACTCCTGACCGTTGGACCCAGCTCCCTTTGCAAGCGTTTTTTGTGTCAAATGAGCCTGCATGTGTGCCAAACATAAGACCGACCACAGCAACACACAAAATTTTACCATTCGGATCTCTATAATGGGGCATATTTCGCTCTAAAAATGGTATAACCGGAGAAAGTGTGAGGGTTTCTCTGAACTCTCTTTCTATTCTCCACTTTTTCACTAATTCGCCTAACCTTTTTCTGAAAGGAGACATGACGACAAATTTGGTATACGAGAAAAAGCCTCAGCTTCTTTATCCTTGATTCGTTAGCTTCAATTTGGTTGTGACGATGATACCCTCGACGCTCTGATCATGTTCGTCACATGACGGCCGAAAGCTTAGCACCTTTTCACCGGAATCGATGGGCATTACGTCAGAATGAATGTTCCAGTAAAGCCAATCGACAGCTGGTCAAGAGATATCTGTTGTCGTCTTCTGGTGGAACCGACCTTCGAATCTCTTCACCCAACACTTCTACTCGAAATGAAAACAAACTTAGCAATTATGAAACAAAAGATTCCTCGAAACCTAACTA